ACAAGAATTTGGACACAGTAGAATCCATGCTAATACATCATGTATTGTTCTCAATACAAGAATTTGGACACAGTAGAGTCCATGCTAATACATCATGTATTGTTCTCAATACAAGAATTTGGACACAGTAGAGTCCACGCTAATACATCATGTATTGTTCTCAATACAAGAATTTGGACACAGTTGAGTCCAAGCTAATACATCATGTATTGTTCTCAATACAAGAATTTGGACACAGTAGAGTCCATGCTAATACATCATGTATTGTTCTCAATACAAGAATTTGGACACAGTAGAGTCCATGCTAATACATCATGTATTGTTCTCAATACAAGAATTTGGACACAGTAAGAGTCCATGCTAATACATCATGTATTGTTCTCAATACAAGAATTTGGACACAGTAGAGTCCATGCTAATACATCATGTATTGTTCTCAATAAAAGAATTTGGACACAGTAGAGTCCATGCTAATACATCATGTATTGTTCTCAATACAATAATTTGGACACAGTAGAGTCCATGCTAATACATCACGTATTGTTCTCAATACAAGAATTTGGACACAGTAGAGTCCATGCTAATACATCACGTATTGTTCTCAATACAAGAATTTGGACACAGTAGAGACCATGCTAATACATCATGTCAACAGATATCAGACACAGTAGAGTCCATGCTAATACATCATGTCAACAGATATCAGACACAGTAGAGTCCATGCTAATACATCATGTCAACAGATATCAGACACAGTAGAGTCCATGCTAATAAATCATGTCAACAGATATCAGACACAGTAGAGTCCATGCTAATACATCATGTCAACAGATATCAGACACAGTAGAGTCCATGCTAATACATCATGTTAACAGATATCAGACACAGTAGAGTCCATGCTAATACATCATGTCAACAGATATCAGACACAGTAGAGTCCATGCTAATACATCATGTCAACAGATATCAGACACAGTAGAGTCCATGCTAATACATCATGTCAACAGATATCAGACACAGTAGAGTCCATGCTAATACATCATGTCAACAGATATCAGACACAGTAGAGTCCATGCTAATACATCATGTCAACAGATATCAGACACAGTAGAGTCCATGCTAATACATCATGGCAACAGATATCAGACACAGTAGAGTCCATGCTAATACATCATGTCAACAGATATCAGACACAGTAGAGTCCATGGTAATACATCATGTCAACAGATATCAGACACAGTAGAGTCCATGCTAATACATCATGTCAACAGATATTAATTGCTCTAGTGAGGTGGGCAATAGATGAGAATTATTATATTTGTTCAAATACTTGTTAAGCTTCATAAAGAGTTTAGTTGAGCTGAGATATACAAAGAAGAATTTCATCAAAATTGGATTTTTTGTATAGAATTTTAAAATTATTTTTGTTTGCAATGTAACATAGGCCTATATACAATAAAACATAGGGCCTAGGCCTATATACAATGTAACATAGGCCCTAGGTCTATATATAATAATAATAATATAAAATAAAAATATCCACGAATTGTCAACAATATTTTTGCGTAAAAAATTATTTGAGATCATAATTCAACATTTGATTCATCTTTTTTAAGCAATGAATAGTTTAATCTCCTGCTCTACTTTGGACTGGACAATAAACTATCGGCCAGCTCTTGTATAGCCAACCAAGCAAATTTAATATCGGCCACCTGGGTTTTTTCTGCACAAACAACGAATCGTAAAAAGAATGTGTCCTTGACCTTGGACGGGACGAGGTGGATCCGTCGGTCATCGTTAATTTTCTTTGTAAGCGTTTCATTGATTTTATTGGTTCCCTGTAAAAATAAAACTAAAAATGTACTTTCTAAGTAAAACATGAAGTGTCAAGATTTACTCTCTAAAGAGACTACAATTATTAAGTGTCAAGATTTACTCTCTATAGAGACTACAATTATTAAGTGTCAAGATTTACTCTCTATATATACTACAATTATTAAGTGTCATGATTTACTCTCTATATAGACTACAATTATTAAGTGTCAAGATTTACTCTCTATATAGACTACAATTATTAAGTGTCAAGATTTACTCTCTATATAGACTACAATTATTAAGTGTCAAGATTTACTCTCTATATAGACTACAATTATTAAGTGTCAAGATTTACTGTCTGTATAGAATACAATATTAAGTGTCAAGATTTACTCTCTATGTAGACTACCATATTAAATGTATGGATTTACTGTCTATATAGACTATAATATTAAGTGTCAAGATTTACTGTTTAAATACAATAATTGACAACATTAAGTTTACTAAGTACAAAAATAAGTGTTAAGATTTACTATGTACAACATTAAGCGTCACAGTATTTTCATTTTATAGACAGCATACATTTTTTTAGGGAATTTTTATTTTATTTCGGAAAGGGGGGGGGGGGATGTAGCCCCCTTTTTTTTCACCAAGTAGTTTGTTCCATTAAAAACTTTAAAATCAATATTTATTTATTTCATTATTAAAATTGGTACCAAAGAACATTAAACAAAATTTTTTTAACTAAAAAGTATTGGGAGACATAACATTTTGACTAAAGATGTGAAACAAATTGGTTTTTCCAAATTTTAAAAATTATGTATCATATTATAAAGAAAAGAAGGCAAAAGTGGGTAACAGCTGACCGGTGTAAAATACATATTGCGACTGGATGTATTGAATGGGAAGAGTGTTCGCCTTGCTATTGCAAGCCTTGATTGTGTGGTAGAAATTGACAAGCTGGCAGATCGCTGTCACCCATAACTTTGCCTCCCCCCACCCATTAAATTAAAGTAAACTACAATGTAGATTGAACACACCAAGATAAAAAAGCCATTCAAGTTGATAAATCAAATGGACAAAAAATGGGACGCCAACCCAGCAACCTTTTAGTGCTAAGAACCCTCTCCATGCCCTCTCCCTAAGCCCCTGGATGGTAAGGTCTTACAAAACATCATGTCCATCTGATATGGCTGAGAGGAAAGGTTTAGAATGGAATGGCAAATAGGGGTCAAGTCCTGGGGTAAAGTGTGGGAATTCACCCACCCTCCCCCACACCACTTTTTCCGCCTTAATGGGAAAACTGAGAGCTTCCTTAGACAACTACATGGTAAGATCACAAGGAATCTGGTTGAAAACGACCACTAAAACATCATGTCCATCTGATATGGCTGAGAGGAAAGGTTTAGAATGGAATGGCAAATAGGGGTCAAGTCCTGGGGTAAAGTGTGGGAATTCACCCCCCCCCCCCGCGCCAACATGGCTATCATATCATATGCATGTTCCTTCAAGATGCGAGGCCTGATTTTAAAAACCAAAACCGGTTTGTCAAAAAAGAGAAAAAATATTTTTGTTTAAAATTGCATCACCAGTTTGTATTCCACTAATATAAAGATCTATGTAACAGACCTGTTTACCCTCAAACTCTTAAAATCGTACAATATCAACATAAAATCGTTCAATACATTATCTTAATAGTAAAAAATAAACATACAGTACATATTGTGTATACACCTCAAAATCGTACATTGTACGCCAAAATCGTGAGAGTAAACAGATCTGATGTAATAATCATTAGAGTATGTACAGTCAAACTATGTGAAATGGCTTTGGCTATCCAATAGGTTGGTAGGTCAGAGAGTTCTCCCCACAACAAAGTCAGTTCATCCAACAAATGTGTTTAATGCAGTTACACCGAGATCTTTATTTTTATACTGGCTAACAACAAACATTTTTTATTTTTATTACTTACCTTTAACCTAAAGCAAACAAGGCCAAAGGTCACCGGCCTGACAATTTCAAACCTGCCATCACATTTAACTAACTCCTCAAATTGATGAGCAAGTGATACATCCTAAATAAAGAAGAATTTAATGTTTGAAACAGATATAGTTTTTTCTGGACCTCAAAATGAAAATCATAATCAATGTTAAAATGTGCTGTAGAAAAATTTAATTAAAAGAATGTCACACACTTTCAAACTAAAATATTGTTACATTTTTTTCTCTCTAAATATAACATGTTTGGTTGCTTATTCAGTTACTCTATTACATGACCTTGCACTATTTATTCTACTCATCCCTGATAAGATTAAAAAACGCCAATCTTTCAACATCCTGAGGTCATCAAAAGACAACAGTCTCTCAGTATCCTAATGCCATTAAAGGACAACAGTCTCTAAACATCCTGTCATTTAAAGGCACCAGTGTCTCAAAATCCTCTCCTTGATGATTACAGTCTTAGGAAAAGATTACTACGTGTATGATTTCCCTTATGTTTTCTTGTCTCCCCATAATTCTTTCATTTGTTGTCTATGGAGGGAGATGCCCATATGTACTCAAATTACGTCATTGGAAATAAGTCAAATATTTAAAAAAATTTCTAAACCTCTCTCAGACACCAAAAAAAAAAAATTATTGAAAAATGTATTCCTTGGCGCGGGGCCCCAAAAAGGCGCGGGGTCATTTGCTTTTAGTTTAATGTGGCACTGATACATTTTCTGTCATGATACACCTATCACAACAGTACATTAAACATCACTGTGAATTCAGTGCCCTTTACTGTCATGATACACCCATCACAACAGTACATTAAACATCACTGTGAAATTCAGGTTTTAAAAGACAATATATGATTTAAAAAAACAAAATGACTTTCCAGTTTCATATGATCTTTATTCCCTCCCCTCATTCACAAACTGTCACACTTTCTTAGATCCACCCTCCCCCCAATCGGGACAACCTTTTTGATATTTGAACAATTATTCTGTGAGCTTGTTTTTAAAAAAAAAAACATAAAATAAATTTTAAAAAAATTGCCTCCCAAGGATATCCATTTGCTAAGATTTGCTGAAACAAGCTTTTCAATGAAAAATAAAATATCATTTATTTGTTTATAAATTTTCCCCCTGCACTCCCTCCTCAGCAAGTAAACACTACACAACAAATTGCAGGATTGTAGCCTACCTTCCTTATTTGGTCCTGGAGTCCTGAGACGCCGAACATGCGCAGAACAAACCAGATTTTTAGGGATCTGAACCTTGCGCCAAGGGGAATCTGCCAGTGCTGGAAATTAAATGTAAATACACAAGCCCCTTGATTAATTTTTTTTTAAAACCCTTTTTTGATACAGCTGTATTTTAATTAAATAAATGTATGTAACTTTTTTTTAATGTCCTGATTATGTTGGAAAATATTTTTATGTGCAGCGCAGTGAGCCCAGCCCTAGGCTGTGGTACCGCACTATATAAGACCACTTTAATTGTCATAATCATTTAAAAAATTTTTTAAAAAGTTGTTTTTCCAATCCAGATAAATTTGTATGAAAATTCATGAGGGAAAAAAAGTTTCTTAATGATGTGTGAGAAGTCATGTACATGTCATATTAAAGTACATATTTTGACATATAAATAAAGTCTTGTACTTGTACATGTCATATTGAAGGACATGTCATGACATTGAAATAAACTCTTGTCATGTCACATTAAAAGACATGTAATGACATTAAACTTAAGTCTTGTACATTTCAAATTGAAGGACATGTAATGACATTGAGCATATTGAGTGACATGTAATGACACTGAACTAAAGTCTTGTACATGTCATAGTGAGGGACATGTCATGACATTGAAATTAAGTCTTGTACAATCATAGTTAGGGACATGTTATGACATTGAACTAAAGTCTTTTAAATATTCTATTGAGTGACATCTGTTGACATTGATCTAAAGTCATGTACTTGTCATATAGAGTGACATGTCATGACATTGTACTTAAGTCATGTACATGTCATATTGAAGGATACATAATGACATTGAACTAATGGAGAAAAGGCAGTAGTGAATTCTCAAACATGCACCCCCATAACACACACACACACATAAATCATCTATATAAGCCTTAACAATGTCACCCTCTTCACCAATGAGAAAGGGAACTTACTCTGAATTCTGGCATGTCCTGTCCCAGGTCCTCGGTCTCACGTTTCAGGTAGATTGGGTTCACCTCAAAAGCCTCAGACACAAGTTGGCTGTCTTTGAACCTTCAGGGAAGCATACATTTTATATTTATTTAATTTGTAATGGCAGCCTTGATCATTACAAGAAAATGGCAAATTTGATCATTACAACAAAATGGCCTAAGATTTCAAATAAACTTGATATTATCTATCATTATATGAACCAGTGTGTAAGGCAGAAAATTCTGATATTATTTCTTAACTACTTAATTGTCTGTCCCTAAAGAGATGAATGGGAATTAGTTCATCTCTTTCAATTTTGATGGAAGTGTCTTTGAAGAAAATACAAAATCTGTGAGGGTTGATTTTAAATTTAAAAAAATAAAAGGGAATACAAATTTTATTGTCTCCATGCATCCGCTAGGTGACCCCAAGGGTCCTCAATAATTGAAATAGCTTGGAGCCAGGTGAGTCACTGAACTGTTGCAATATTTATTGTATACAATACAGGACTCTATATCTGTTCTTTTTTGTTAGGGTTAACTTCCGTAGTCTTAACCATGGAAGCTGTAGCTGTTTGAGGCTGGTAGTCAGAGTGTCCCAGCTCTTAGAAGAGTTATACCATTGGAGTTGTCCCTGCTATGAGATGAGTGAGTATAATCCATGGTTGACGGGTTCGCTGGGATTTGTGTCGACTCATTTCTTTTTTATGGCATTTGAAATACAATCCACGAGTTTGTATATCATCAAGTCCCAGGGTCAACACATCTAAGTACAGTGTGTATATCATCAAATCCCAGGGTCAACACATCTAAGTACAGTGTGTATATCATCGTCCCAGTGTCAACACATCTAAGTACGGTGTGTATATCATCAAGTCACAGGGTCAACACTTTAAGTACAGAGTGTATATCATGCCCCAGTGTCAACACATCTAAGTACAGTGTATATATATCAAGCCCCAGTGTCAACACATCTAAGTACAGTGTGTATATATATCAAGCCCCAGTGTCAACACATCTAAGTACAGTGTATATATATCAAGCCTCAGTGTCAACACATCTAAGTACAGTGTATATATATATCAAGCCCCAGTGTCAAAACCCTTAGTACAAAGCCAAATAATCAACATAATAGGTACATTGTTTTTTTTAAAAAAGATTACATTTTGTTGGGCTTTATACAAAAGTTAGGGTCAAGGATGAATTTCCTCTTTTCAGATATTACAGGCTCTTCTGTCATATAATAAACATTTTTCTAGGAGTCTTTGCCCTTCTTATAAATATTTTCCCTTTCCCTTGAATACAGAGACATCATTAAACAAAAAATTGATTTTTATTTTAAGTGATTTGGAGAAAGTAAAGTTTAAAAAATTGATTTTTTTTTAAATTTTGATTTTTATATTATTTTTTTTCTTACCACAAAGCAGAACCGTCAAATGTGACCTGCATCCATTTGTAAGGGTTAAAGTTGAAGGACATGGCGTGCTGAGAATAAGAGGGAAAGAGTTACAAATATTGTTTGTTTTAGTCAAATTACGCGTGTAAAGATAATACGCTTAGAGATTACGTTCACGAACTTATCAATGACATCGTGAGCTTTATGAATTTAATATAAACAATTTCAAATGGTCGAAACACATTCTGAAAGATAAAAGATGAAGTCTAGTTAAAGAGTGTTGAGGTCAGAGAAAGGGTTGTCAAATGCAAAAAAATTTTTTTTTTCAAATCTTAAGTCATAGTTAATTGAATCCCTTTACTTCCACACCATCCAGCAGAGGTCTGAACTCAGGACATATGAAAGCAGACCCAGCATAAGCTGCATCAACATGCATCCAGATGTCATGTGTGCTACCTGGATAAATATTTAATTTTATTATATAATGATAATAATTAATATTAGTATTATCATTCTTATATTGTATTAATATTACTTTTATTATATTATCATTATTTTATTATTTTTTTTATTTCTATTAAATTTTCAAAATAGTTTTTATACATCAACAGTAATAAATTTAAAATATTTAATAACAACTGCCTCTTTTCGTATAGGCCTACCTTCTACACCGCCCCTGTCTGATGATTTTTAAGTCATAAATCAAATCCATAAAAGATTATTTATACTATTATCAAATGTTTGATGTCACAAGAATTTTTAACAACTCTGGTTGAAATACATAATATGAAAATATGAAAAGAGAATACATTGTTGTTGTTCTAATCACTTACAAATTGGTCCAAGTTCTAGCAGATTGTCTACGCCACATGTGGATGTGGTCCCTAGAGTTGCACACAACTGTATAAGAATTGTCAAAGTGAATTATGAAATGTATACACTCAAATAGTGAGACATATTTACTATACTATAAGTATTTAAGGGAGAGAAATTTTTAAAATAGTGAGATATATTAACTGTAGGGAGCGACAGTCTTCCTGTACTAGTGATAAAGATAAATAGTGATACATTGACGTATTCATCATATCAGTATCAGATTTTAGTGGAAGTCTTGTTTTCATTTAGTATAGAGTATAGACGACTATAGTTTTAGAATAGTATAAACACTAGGCTGAGAAAAAGGAGATTTGATGTATTAGACTAAATTAGAGTATAAGATATAGTTTAGTATAGGATTAATAATAATAATAATAATAAAGTGTATTATACTGTATTTCAAAAACACGCTGCATCCCCAAAGCCTCAAAGCGCGGTACAAAAGAAAAATCTATAATTTACCACATTTAAAACAAACGCAACACTACAAAAACTAATTACAAGCATACCATAGTTTAGTAGTCACAAGGCTGAGAATAAGTATAAGGCATTCATATAATTTTACAAAGTTATTTTTTGATGCAATTTTACAGGTACACCTAGTAGGTCGATTTAAAATGAGACAAAGATTTCAAAGAACAGATATCAAAATATTGATAAATTAGACTTAGCTAATTTCTCACATTTTATTTCCTTTACGACATACTAATATTACTACTGATTACTGGAAACAAAATGATGTTAAAGTAAAGCCTCAACAATAATTCGTTTGTTATTGTTGATCCGATGTTGCTTCTGCTTAGTTATTAGTTCTAGCACGAAAAAATAATTATTTAGAGAACCCTATCAATATCATTCGGCACTTCTCAAATGCTTCTCAAACCCTATGGCCTATGGGCCAGGATTGCGTCAAAAATAGCCCCATGTCAAAGTTCCTAACTAAATTAATAACCTAAGCGGGCCTAGGCCTAAATAAGTTATAAGGCTTAAGATTACTAAGAACAAACATGATGGACAAGACTGAGAATAGTGAATACTCATCTGAATAGGGAGATTAGTTGAGTTATATTTCATAACAAAATTAATTTCTAATGCATGAAATAGCGTTCAAGAAAATGAATTTAGATTTCCACTAGCGTAATTGTTACATTAGGTAAATTGTATCAAAAACAAAGAAAGTTAAAATAATTTTGTACTACCCGCGCCACAAACACACGTCTGGTAAAAAAGTGAGAGTAAAGGGAGAGAATGTGTTATTTCAACTACTTACCGAAAGAAAAGAAAATAAGCAATTTTAGCAGAATAATTTTTTGTTTAAGGAACTAAAATCAAATTACAACCATTTTTTGAAAAGTACGTGCAATAAAAATATAAAATAAAATAAAATTTCGACTATCCGCGCCATGACATTTTAAAAAAAAAATACTAGGAATTTAAAGTGGACCATAAGTTGGACGAATATTATTTTTCAAGGACTATTGAAAATCCGCTTAATAAAAAAATGCTTTGCATACATCAGCTGAAACAGAAAAATTCTTTAACAAAATGAATGTTATATCTTGGTGTGGTGTTCATAACTGGATTATTTTCTTTTTAAATTCTAAATAATTTGAGAATACAGCCATTGACAACTCACAAAGAAGGGTATCAATCCTTGTTCCTTGTCCTTAATGATGGCAGATTCTAGCTCTGATCCTCTTAGGGCTCCTTGGTCATCTGTTGGTAGAGATTTCATTGGAACCATACCGATAAGTGCGGCTTTCACAACTGACGAATGGGCCTGGTTATTTGGGTAAAATAAAACAAATAAAACCTGAATTTGAAAATTTCAATACAAATATAAGGAATCAAATATATTTTCTTGTTTAAAAATATATGCACAAGCTTATACATTCTTGTTTGGAAAGATGTATAAACAGAACTTCAACAACTTCCTCTTTTTTTAACCATCATCATTACAGTGTACAAAATAAAACCACAGAACTTTAGCAACATCACGACACATCACTAAGAAGGTCACTACACATCACAAAGAAGGTTACTACACATCACAAAGAAGGTCACTACACATCATTAAGAAGGTCACTACACATCATTAAGAAGGTCACTACATATCATTAAGAAGGTCACTACACATCATAAAGAAGTTCACTACACATCATTAAGAAGGTCACTACACATCACAAAGAAGGTCACTACACATCATTAAGAAGGTCACTACAGATCACAAAGAAGGTCACTACACATCACAAAGAAGGTCACTACACATCATTAAGAAGGTCACTACACATCATAAAGAAGTTCACTACACATCATTAAGAAGGTCACTACACATCACAAAGAAGGTCACTACACATCATTAAGAAGGTAACTACACATCATTAAGAAGATCACTACACATCATAAAGAAGGCTTAACCACACGCTGCACCCAAACCACCTCCACCCCATTTTTTTCTAAAACCATCCCATGATATTTGCATGAATGCAGTTCTATTTCAAATCCACAAAGACGATGGCATAAATGCATCATGGATACACGTAAGCCATAACGAAAATGGCATTACACACGACCCAACGTGTGAACACGGTCTAGTACCAGATAACTCACCTCCTCTGAACAATAAGCCACCAGTTTATCAATTATCTGCCCTTGAGTCATCAGGGGGTTGTCTTTCTTGAGCTTATTAATCGTAGTGGTTCTAGCAGACAGGAGGGCTACAAGAATTGCTTCACTTGCTGTGCCCTGTTGAAAAAAGTATAACATCAACATTTTAAAAATAAAATATTGTTATAACAGTTGATGTTACCTTCTTACATCAACTATAATATCAACATTTGTGTCTACTTCAACTTCAATATAATAATTTTTGTTCTTACATCAAATGTAATTTAAATATTTGTATTCGTACATCAAATGTAATTTAAATATTTTTGCTTCGACCCTCATTGGCATTCCTAGCACTATTGCCATCGGGGTAGACCCAGCTTTTGACCGCCGCTTCCAAGAATAACACTGCAGTCGGCTGAATAGAAATTGGTGGAGATGCTCCACAGGACGTGCCACCCCCTCCCCCCCCTCCCCTTTCCTACGACACAGACTACACTGCATCTTAAGAAGGGAAAACAGTTTTGCAAGCATTTAGCAACAAGCTCCATCATAATTTAGGGTATTGCTGGGCAGTCGAGTAAGTGCTTAATAGTTCTAGGGCAGGGGTTGAGAACATGCGTTCCGTGGGCCATACACGGCCCATGATAACGTTTGGCTTGGCCCGCCAGAGGAATTTAAAATCCAATAAATATGACAGTTTTTTTTCCATACCAACAGCCAACATGAATTTATATGAAGTGAAGTGAATCATAAAACATGAAGGTCAATGCCGATACGTGTGACACGTCATGGCAATGATTGTCTGCATTTACCAACATGAAATTAGATTAAGTGAATTCAACCTTGACATTGATGATTGATTGAAAACAACGCTAGCCTGAAGTACTGGCTTTATGACGTCATGCCAGCCCAACCCTCCCCTAATTCTTTTGCTGCCTTCTCGGATACTACTTCTCAGCTAAGTGTGCTATTCTGTGTTGTTTTTTTTCCTGTTGTTTCTTCGTTGACGAAGGCTTCATGCCAAGACGTTCGTTTTTTGTTGTTTTTTTTTGGTTGCGTTACATTTTTTTTTCAGGTTTGACCTTACTTTGTTTGACTCATTTCCCATTTAACCTGACTGCAGTCTCTCCTCTTATTACCCTCCCCCAAAACTAGCTTAAAGTAGTGACGCCATGCCAAGCCAAGAGCCCCACATCCTCCCAACAATGGAGCCGCGATGAGTAATTAGGGCCAGGGCTATTAACTGTTATAGGAAAAAAATTGAAATTTCGGAAAGTAAGCGTGTGAACAAATGCCCGTTATGACGCGCCCCATTGTGACCAGCAAGGCCCCGGTACGACTATGACGCGCCCCATTATGACCAGCAAGGCCCCGGTACGACTATGACGCGCCCCATTATGACCAGCAAGGCCCCGGTACGACTATGACGCGCCCCATTGTGACCAGCAAGGCCCCGGTACGACTATGACGCGTCTCATTGTGACCAGCAAGGCCCCGGTACGACTATGACGTGTCTCATTGTGACCAGCAAGGCCCCGGTACGACTATGACGCGTGTCATTGTGACCAGCAAGGTCCCGGTACGACTATGACGGGTCTCATTGTGACCAGCAAGGCCCCGGTACGACTATGACGTGTCTCATTGTGACCAGCAAGGCCCCGGTACGACTATGACGTGTCTCATTGTGACCAGCAAGGCCCCGGTACGACTATGACGTGTCTCAATATCAAATCGGGCGAATATATAACGTCAACGGCATTGCACAATTCAATTTCCTCCAAGGCCTCGCACCCTCCTAGCGCCGGCCCTGGTAAGATACATGTGATTAGTCCAAATCCTGTATCAATCAAGAATGAGTAGCGTACATTGCGAACGATGGTCGCTAGAAAGTAGATATTTGAAGACATGTGTCATTAAATGTCCCCGTGGCTGCTGGTTAATTACCAGCGCTCCAATAGAGTGATCATTACAACGCAGATAGTTTGTTTTAAAAAAATATGTTAGATGTTTCTGATGAAATATATTTGAGTCTGGTGATGTATGGGCCGACAAGACTACACGATGATATGATGAACTGTATATGAGTCTGGTTATTGTATGGGCCTACAAGACTACACGATGATATGATGAACTGTATATGAGTCTGGTTATTATATGGGCCTACAAGACTACACGATGATATGATGAACTGTATATGAGTCTGGTTATGTATGGGCCTACAAGACTACACGATGAGATGTAATAGCTGCTTTCTTCTTGTACACCCTCCCCCCCCATATCTCATCTTGACCCCCCCCCCCTGAACCCTAACTTACCTGTAGAGCCGCTTTTACCTATCCTAACATAACTTTATAATAACTCCACTTTAACCTCATCTCATCTACCTGTATAACATCCCCACTTTTATTT